ACAACTCACCTGGCTGTAATGGCTGCAGGTAGGCACCCTGAAAATTCTCCCGGGCTTGCTGTGTACTGGGGGGGCAATACGGGAGCCCTATAGGTGGATGGGGCACTGACCCTGGGCTTTGGGGATTCTAAAAGAGAGCATGAGACATCCATGTCCAGACATTTGGCCAAGTTTAAAATGTTCTCAGTCCCTGGGGGTGGGGGCGGGGGGCGGTGGAGGAGAAAGGAAGGCCCCTGGGTGCAGGGAGAGGCCTGGCTGGAGACAGGCTCCCTGCTCTCTGGGACCCCACCCTCGGCCTCCATGTCTCTCTAGGCCCCCGGACCTCCCTGCTCCTGGCTTTTGCCCTCCTCTGCCTGCCCTGGCCCCAGGAGGTGGCTGCCTTCCCCACCATGTCCTTGTCCAGCATGTTTGCCAACGCTGTGCTCCGCGCCCAGCACCTGCACCAACTGGCTGCTGACACCTACAAAGACTTTGTAAGCAACCCGGGAAGCCGGGCGGTGGGGCGGTGGCAGGAAGGGCTGAATTCCCCACTCCCCCCACCCTGCCCAGCATAAGGGGAGAAAACGGACGAGTTCAGGGTGGTTTTATCCAAGTGAAGATGCTGTCAACTGGGAGCGAGGGGGGGGGGAGGGATTTCGAGAAAGCGATGGTGAGACCCGTGCACCGGCTCAGACCTGGGCGAACATTCCCTCTCCCAGGAGCGCTCCTACATCCCAGAGGGACAGAGATACTCAATCCAGAACGCCCAGGCTGCCTACTGCTTCTCGGAGACCATCCCGGCCCCCACGGGCAAGGAGGAGGCCCGGCAGAAATCCGTGAGTGGCCTCCATAGCCCAGCTTGGGAGCAGGGCCGCCCCCCCCCTCCCCCGCCTGGGCCCTGGGCTGCCTTCTCCTCAAGGTGGCGGAGGTGGCGGAGGGCGGTGGGACGGTGGGGGAGGCCGGCAGAAGCCAGCGCTGGCGGGGCTGCCAGGTGCCCAACATCCACCCTCTCCCCGCAGGACTCGGAGCTGCTCCGCTTCTCGCTTCTCCTCATCCAGTCGTGGCTCGGGCCCATGCAGGCCCTCAGCAGGGCCTTCACCAGTGGCCTGCTGTTGGGCATCTCCAACGGCATCTATGAGAAGCTGAAGGACCTGGAGGAGGGCATCCAAGCCCTGATGCGGGTGGGGATGGTGTTGTTGGTCCCGTCCCCCGTCCCCCGCCGGGGCCTGCTCGCCCTTCCCTGGGCCTAGAGCCCCAGCTGGCTTAGCTGAGGGGTTGGGGACTTTCGTGGGCTGGAGAAGAGAGAGACTGCCGCTCTCTTTGCAGCAGCCCAGCCTTGACCCAGGAGAAACCCTCCTCCTCATTTCCCCTTTGGGTCGCTCCCCGTCCTCCTCTAAGCCCCGGAGGGGAGGGAGGAATATCGAGGGAGAGGGAGGCGCAGCTGGCAAGGCAAGGGCTGAGTTTCTCCTTCCCTTTTGCAGGAGCTGGAAGATGGCAGCTCGCATTCGGGGCTGATCCTCACGCAAACCTACGACAGGTTTGACACAAACTTGCGTAGTGGTGACACCGTGCTCAAGAACTACGGGCTGCTCTCCTGCTTCAAGAAGGACCTGCACAAGGTTGAGACGTACCTGCGGTTCACAAAGTGTCGCCGCTTCATGGAAAGCGGCTGTGCCTTCTAGCTGCTGGCCATCTCTGTGACCCTCCCCAGTGCCTCCCCTGACCCTGGAAAGGGCCCCTCCAGTGCCCACCATCCTTTCCTAATAAAATACATTTGCATCATAATGTCTGAGTAGAAGTCATTCTATTGTGAAGAGGGTGGGGGATTCGAACAGGGCAAGTGGCAGGTTGGGAGGACAACCTGCAGGAACCCTGGGGGGTTCCAAATTGTTTCTCTGTTACTAACGTTGTGGCCCCACCCCATAACAAAGAAACAGAATTTCCGGAGGATGAGGCCCAGAAATCAGGATTTTAAAAATATTCCCAGGTGGTTCTAATGTGCAGCCAAGGTTGAGAACCACTGCTCTATAGCATCCCTTGCAGATGGTGTTGACTTGTGAGGCACTAGCGTGAAGGGAATCGCTAGCTCACGAGGCAACTCATTCCACTAAATCTCTGCTCTCAGAGAAGTATCTCTTTCAGTGATTCTCAACCTTCTGGCCCTTTAAATACAGTTCCTCATGTTGTGACCCAACCATAAAATTATTTTCGTTGCCACTTCATAACTGTAATGTTGCTACTGTTATGAATCGTAATGTAAATATCTGATATGCAGGATGGTCTTAGGCGACCCCTGGGAAAGGGCTGTTCGACCGCCAAAGGGGTCTCGACCCACAGGTTGAGAACCGCTGTCTTACATTGAGCTGAAATCCATCTCTCTGCAAGGAGCCTCATTTGGCCTTAGAATTGTTGGAAATCTCACAGTCTTTAGAAGTTGTCATTAGCACAGATATATAATTATGTCTCGCCTTGAATAAGTGTTTTAAAGAAAATGTGAGCCATCTTAAGAAGTACAGTAAGCCCTCAATTTTGTGGATCTTGATTTAACAGACTTCGAATTTAACGGACAAAATTTCCGGTCTATATGTCTTATGTGAAGATTAACACCCTGTTCATTATAAAATGCTTTTAACCAAGGCTTGCTTAAACTTTAATTAACAGGTTATTGTTTTTGTTATTAAGTCACTGTCATTTTTAACAAATTTTAGCGAATAGGCCATATGTTGGGGAAAAAACGCTGTAGTAATTTGGCCAACAGAAAGAAATGTTTTACAGAACTACAACTATAGTCTACATATTAAATCCAAGTCACTTATAAACAATGTTTGATGGATGATTTGCACGTGATCACACTGCATCACGTGTGGTACTTGGTTCTGTTGTCACCTGGTGTGACTTTCTGCTGCAGTTTTAATGCGTGCTGGCAGGTGTTCTGAGAAGTGCTAGGCCCCACCTCAGCCATGTGCATTTGCTCACTCAAGGTGACTGGTGAATATGCATGCATTTACTAGACTTGTTTCTTTATTTATTTTTCAAATCAGAATTTAAGCATTTCTAAAAATATTTTTATTGACTTCAGAGAAGAAGGGAGAGAGAGAGAGAAACATCAGGATGACAGAGAATCATTGATCGGCTGTCTCCTGCAAGAGGAAGGAGACCTATTTAGCATAAATTTAAACTTATAGTAATACATATAGACTTTTCTGTAATTTCACTTTAATTACATAAAGATGTCTGCATAAGTAAAAGCAGGTAAACTAATTTGTCAGTTTTTTAACATACCCATTCGGAAAACCACCTTTTATTATATAATGGACTTTTGGCTTTAACGGACACCCCCTCTCCTGAATTGGTCCGGTATATTGAGGTTTTACTGTTTTTAATGAATGAATGTGGCAGGAGAGGAACACTAATAGTAAGAGGATTCTAAAGTGTCATGGTAGCAATCGACTGCAGGGGGCGCCACACTCCAGAGAGTATCCGCTCAATTCCTTCCGGGTAAAGCTGAATCAACTCCACCCCTGCTGGCTGAGAATTTTAAAGAGGTTAATTGATTTTGTAAAAATTTTAGAATTTAAAAAGACCTTAAAAGCCATCTACCCTAAACTCTATGATTAAAAAAAAAACAATGTTATTCTGCCGTTCAGGTCTTCAATTTGGCAGTGAATGGCAACCTCCACTGCAAGTTATAAACGCCTGGGATGTTTTCTAAACAACTTGGGTGGTAGCCTCCACTCCCTGCGATTCTGATTTGATTGGTCTGGTGAGGGATCCAGGCAAGAGTTTGTTGTTTGGGTTGGGTTTTGTTTATTTGTTTTGTTAATCCTCACTTGTGGGTATTTTGTTTTGTTTTTTTAATGTTTTTTTTCCCTAAATATATTTTTATTGATTTCAAAGAGGAAGGGAGAGGGAGAGAAAGATAGAAACATCAATGATGAGAATCATTGATCGGCTGCCTCCTGCACACCCCGCACTGGGGATGCAGCCTGCAAGCCGGCGTGTGCCCTGACTGGGAATCGAATCGTGACCTCCTGGTTCATATAGGTCGATGCTCAGCCATGTGGCTGTTTTTTTCCATTGCTTTTCAAAGAGAGTGGAAGAGAGGGAGGGGGGCTTGATGTGAGAGAGACAGATTGACTTGGTTGCCTCTCATGCACCCCGATTGCCCAGGTAAGTGCCTTTGACCGGGAATGGAACCGGGGACCCTTCAGTCACCAAGCCAACGCTCTATCCACTGAGCCAAACCAGCTAGGACACCATTGCTGTTTTTATCTCTCTCCCTCTCCCTTCCTCTCTGAAATCAATGAAGATATATTTTTTAAATAAATAAAATGGTGCCCTGACTGGTTTGGCTCAGTGTATAGAGCGGAACTTTTGAAAATTCTCAGAGAGGATGAGCGACAGTGGACAGAGGCCTTGGGCAGCCTGGCCTGGCAAAGGTTGGAGCGGAGACCGTGGAGCCTGCCCTGCAGCCAAGGCGCCGGGTCTCCTTTAACCGCGGTGGGTGCAGGGACGCGGCCAGCGTTGGTATCGGCGCGGTTGGGGGCGTGGAAACTGGACGCGCCCGCAGCGACAGCCGCCGCTTTCTCCTCGGGCTCCTGGGAGATTTCAGGGGTTCAAGGAGGCCTTGGCCACGGCCTGTCCGGTAAGTCCCTGCCGGCGGCGGCGCCAGGGCTTTCGTCTCCCCGCAGGGACCTTGGGTTCCTGCCCCGGGCACTGGCTGCGAGGGGACGGTCCGAGCCCATCCTCTCCGCCCGGTCTGGAGGGCACGCTGGGTCAGGGCACCTCCTGCGGGGAGGCCCGAGGGGAGAGGTGGTTTCCAACTTACTGGCCTTCTGGCTGGTTGAGAGCCCGGGAGGCTGGGTGGTGGCCTGTTGGTCCCCACTTGGTTATGAGGAGCCCATGAGAAATGAGGTGCATTTCTGAGACATTTCTCTCTTCGGCCTGATATTTGGGAGCAAAGGGCAGTGGTAATGGAAGGACGAGGCCCAGACAGGATCACCTTCTTTAATCTGGGGGACTGGTGAGGCATACAGCAAGGATCGAGGGTCCTCTCTGGCTGAACACAGACTGAAATTCCTAGTGACTACAGTGAAGTTGGAGAGTGCAGCTTGTGAATGGATGGATACAAGGGGCATGGGGCCCACAGCATGCTTTATGGGACTGCCTAACACAGAGGGTGTCTCTTCCTTTCTCCTCTACCCCCTTTCCTCCCTTAGAAAACCCAGTAATAGAGGTCACCTTCAACCAACAGCTGTTCTGCTTAACAGTCATGTGCGTTGCATGTCTCTGCTTGAACAGCAAACTGGCTTTCCTCTTTGTTCTTCTCTGTCTGCCTATAGGGCGATTTCCTCCTCTCTATGTTGCAGGGCAGATAGTTAAAATACAGTGCAATGCTGAATACGCCTATTCCAAGGGCGGCAATAAGAATGATGACGATGGAGCTGATGTCTTCATTCAGTTCTGCCCAAGCACAGAAGACAGAGAATTGGAAGGGTTCAAGGGCAAGGAGGGTCACCCTGCCCCAGCCCGCCAAGCCCAGTTCTCGGTCTCCTCCTCCCCAGCCCACTGAAATATTTCTTCTTTCCATGTTTGAATAAGACTCCCACCCCCTGGGGGACTCCCATCCTGGGCCTAGCAGCAGGGGAGCCATGGTCACCTTGAACAATGAGAGCAATGTCTTTGCTGACAGAGCCCAGCTGGTTAGTGGCCGTGCAGCAGTAGGTTCCAGTGTGGTTCTGGGTTGCCTTCTGTGGCATTTGAAAGTTGAAGATCACTCCATTCCAGGTACATACCAACGATGGAGTTGGGTTTCCCTTTGGGACACAGGCAAGCTTCTGTTCCATGCCTTCCAGCCATGTTTGGTTGCCAGGGCAACCAGATTCCTCTAACCGAGGCTTGTCTGGGGGAAAAAGAGTTCCAGAAGAAACAGAGTTCAGTGTGCACCTTCCCTCACTAGTCATGCTCACCTCTCCCTCTAATCCAAATGCTGCCTCCCCTCCACCCAAGAGGAGGACCGTCCGCTCCCTGCTTTGAGCCTCTCTCCTTTTCTTCCGTCCCTACTGCCAAGGAGTCTGACTGAGGTGCAGCACCAGGCATTTTCACGGACTGTGACTAAATGATCTGACTGCTCCATTAATGGTGGCTCTGGGGCCCCTGCTTCTTAGTGAGTGAGAACGTGGGTAGTGGTGAACCAGAGATGAGCATTTTCTATTTTTCAAAGCACAGATTTTTAGGTGGAAATTTCCTTTCTCAGCATAAACTCTTAACTATTACTTCCTGGGTTCTCTGTCATTGGCCCCCCCACACCCACACACCTGATTACTGTAACTGCGTTCTCTCTCCTGTTCCCAGTTCCCTCACGTTTCTCCCCACTCACTTTGCTGGGGGTAAGGTCAGCATGGAGAGCTTTAACTTAATTTTTTCTCTTGATTGTTTAATGAGAAAAAAATGTGGGAACTCGAATAATGAAGCCGCTGGCCAAGATCTCTGGAAAAGGGACAGTAATATTCCTTGCTTTGAAAAGAAAGATAGGGCCGGTACTCACATAAGACATGGAGCTGGGCTGTGGTGGTTTTGATCAACCGTTGACCCTGAACCTCCAAAGAGGCCTCACAGGAGAAATTTCGGCCATCATCTTCCTCCCTGGCGGTAAGTAAAAGCCAGGCAGGCTCCCCAGGGGCAGGGAGGTCGGGGGCTCCCTGTAGTCGAAGAGTAGGGCTGGGTGATGTTAACACATGCCCTGCACAGGTCACGTTAATATCTGTCCCTGCCCGGGGGTATAGTTCTTCTATCTCCAGGACGGGTGGAGGGAAGCCTATAAGGAAAAAGACAACCACGCATCTTTCTCCAACGGGTGGCGCCTTGGGCACTCTCACGGCTGCTGGCGTCCCTCGCGTAGACAGACAGCAAGGGGAAGGCTGTGGGGACTCATTGCTCTGCGCTGAATGGCAGGAGCAACAAGGTGCTTTAGGAATTTGAGAGCTTTTCCTACAACAAATTGGCGTGCCCACCTTTGGCTACGTCCCTTGGCAAGGATAGCAAGATGTCTTTTCATCTTACAGATTTCCTCCTCACTCAGATGACTGTTTCTAGAAAGGAGTTCAAGCATTTGAGTAGCATGGCCTAAACCCGTGGTCGGCAAACTGCAGCTCGTGAGCCACATGCGGCTCTTTGGCCCCTTGAGTGTGGCTCTTCCTAAGCCTTAGGAGAACCCTAATTAAGTTAATAACAATGTACCTACCTATATAGTTTAAGTTTAAAAAATTTGGCTCTCAAAAGAAATTTCAATCGTCGTACTGTTGATATTTGGCTCTGTTGACTAATGTTTGCCAACACTGGCCTAAGCAAACAGGATGAAGGCTGGAAAAAGCTCCTGTCTTGATGCATGTTTCCAATCTGCCTGCACTGATCAGAAAATCCCCAAGGCTTTATTGCAGGCATTTTCAGGGGCAGAGAACCCTTACGGGGAAGGGAAGAAGCCAGTAACTTACTATAGACATGCACTAGCTCTCTTGTTTTCTGTTCCATCGGACCCAGAGATACAAGGCAGGACAGCTCCTGATCACCAGTCTCCATGGCCCGAACAGTGGCATTGGCCCATGCGGTGTCTCCCTCCCAGGAGAGGAAGGGGCTCAGCTCCTGGTCCCCCAAGAAGATCTGGAACATTAACTCTTTGGCTGGGAACACTCTCGCCATCCCACAGCTCACAGTCTCTGCTGTCTCAACCTCCATAAGTGGGGAGACCCAGATTTGGGGACGCTGAGAAAATTCTGCCAAGAAATGAGGAAAAGGAAAGAAAGGAGGAAACCCATGGTAAATCATGTCACATAGGACCCCACGATGTAGGAAGGGAGGAGGGCAACAAGCTCTCTGTCCCCCAGGGGGAGTTTAAAGCCCAAGATGAGGTGAAGCTCAGCTACCCTCACACCCTCATCCTAAACCCTGTGGGAACTTAGTCCTCAAGGCCAAGGTAAGATGAGGACAATGAGCCTCAGGATTCCCTCCACACCTGAGCTCCAACTCACCAAAAATCTGGAGCAGCTTGCTGGCTGAGCTGGAGTGAAAGAGCCCACCACCATGTGACCTCAGGTCCAGTTCTGCATGGCAGGAGAAATTGCACCTGTGGTCCTCCCTTTGTGCTTTGGCAATGATGGTGACCTCAGCTCTCTGGGAGGCCACAGCCAAACTCATAAAGGTCTTTCTATGTAGTTCTTGGTTACCCTGGAGAAGGGTCAGGGTGAGGTTCTCCAGGGGTGCTACCCTGGGCACATGGCACTTCACTGTAAAGACTTCGTCCAAGGCCACCCACGCAGGCAGCAACTCCAGGATCACCTGCTCCGGTGGCTCTTTTAAGACAAAAATGCAGGTTTGATGAGAGAAGGCTACTCACCTCTCCAGAAAGAAGTGGTATAGGACAGGCAGCCTGTGCTAGAAGGTGACTGCCACCATTAAACCATCTGATCAACAGTGTCAGACGGGACAAGTTAGCCTTTGGCTCTTCTTCTGCCCATGAAAGGTGGCTACAGCCATAACCAAGAACTGGGATGCAGAGGGGTACCTTGCTTTGATGGTTGCTGCCATTCGGAGAGCTTTTATGTCTTACCAGAGTGCTTCAGAGGTGTGAGCAGCTTCTGAGGAGCTCCTTAGCATCACACAAAAACTGCACCCAAGTTAACCATGCTCTTACCCCCACAGTGAGCACACTTATTCTTAAAGCCATATCTTTGCCAATACTATCTGCCCACCTGAAAGACCCTTCTCGCCACCTCCATCTCTTCCAATCCTAACTAGTCTGCAGGAGTGAAGCTCAAGAGTCTCCTCTCCCATGAACACTTCTCCAACCCAGCCCACAAAGACACTCCATCCCCAATCCCTATTTACTCTAAGGATTTGTGGCAAATAATTCAGCACTCATTTTATACTTTTTTGATTATTTGTAAGTGAGCATTATTAGCATATTCCCTTGTATTTGAATGTATTCTCCAACACAGATGTCTGCACGCACTCTATGGTATGCTCCTAATTTAAAAGCCTACACCAAAGGTAAGTAGAAGTAATTGGCTCTATAATTCCTACAATATGATGGTTATTAAGAGCCCTAACTCTCTCCTCTGAAAGAAATCTCTGTCCAATGTTTCCCTAAAGAAGGCAGGCACGTTCCCCCATTCTCTTCTAGCCCAGCCCTCAGCCCCACTCACGATACACAGTGATGCCCAGGCTTCTGTCCTTCTGGATCCCTGCGCAAGAGAAGAAGCACTGCAGAATGGAATTCCTGGTCACGTCTTCCAGGAGAAACTCCTTCCACTGAGGCCCTCTGCCCACCTGGCTTTTCTTGAAGAAGGTCTCGATTCCGCTGGGTCCTGGGTCTGGACAGTTAGTGCTGCAGTTGACCACTAGGGATTCTCCAAACTTTACCAGCGCCTGGTCTGGCCAAACAGAGACCTCAAATAGCCCTTCGGTGGCCCCTGAAATGATCAATCATATATGCCAAGGACTTTGGTGAAGACCATAAGACCCTCACAAACTAGTTATCTAGTTACAGAGAATAGGAAACCTACCCTGAATGAAAAAGTACGGGGACTAGACAAAAAGACCCTTAATGAACAAGTAAGGACCCTGATTCCACCATCATTCCCTCCACTCATCATCTTTCTTGGGCTCTGATTTCCCCATTAGTGTCACTGTGGAAACTGTGGAGTTGCTAAAAAATTATGCTCAGGAAGCCACTCTCTTCCTAAATTTCCGGAAATCTTTGAAGCTCTCAGGATTGGCTGCTGAGGACCCAACTGGCTGCTGGGGTTATTAGTCCCCTAAAAAAGAGCTTTGTTTTATCTCAAAGCAGTGTTTCTCTCAAACCATATGGCCTAACAATGACCGTCACCAGAATCACCTGGAATGCTTGTAAAACTACAAATTCTAGCTCCACCTCAGACTGAATGGTTAAAAACTCGTGAAGGTGGCACCTGGAAATGTGCAGGTGAACAAAACAAGCGCTCCTGGCGATCCTAATGCACACGAAGTTAGGAGGACCACGAGTTTCTAAATGTGACTCCCAGGGTCACTCATTTTCCTCTTCTCCAAGTGAGACTGTTCCATTTTGCTCTGGTGCTAAAGCAACAGATGTTTTTGAATGCTTAAGTCTGTTAGGGAAATCTCAGGCGCAATGAGAAAGGTCTCGCTCAGGTAAATTTTAGATGCCTGATGAAAGCTTCCCTGCAGTCCCCTTTACCTACTTCATCTCCCAAATACCAGTCCCCTCTGGGAATAGGCACTCCCGTGGCAATGTTACCCACTAAGGCTCAGTTCCTTTCTAACCATTCAGAGAACTCACTCCTAATAACTGAGCTATGGACACTATCCTATCAAAGTCCTATTGTGGCTCTTCATGACACAAAGGGTGGCAACAAGGAAGTAAAACTATTTTTTTTAAGAGCAGAAAAGTAGGACAGTTATCCCAATACAGTCAGAGACACCTAGATTCTGTGTCCTAGTAATGCAAGGAATTGATATTTCTCCCAAGAGTCCAGGGGGCAATAATACTAGAGTGTTTCCCTGTTCAGGACTTCCTGTCCTTTTCCTCATTGACCATCCACCTGTGTCCTGACACATACTAGCTAAAGAAACTTTTCCAAATAGCCTCACCTGGGAAAGAGATCAAAGCCAGCAGGGCCCAGACACCAAAGAGTAGCATTTCCATCCTTATGGGAAAGGCCGACAGCTGGAGAGAACGAAAAGAACAATGCTGGAGAAAGTGACCAAAAAAAAAAAAAAGATACAGAAAATTATTTCTTTGGTATTTTTTAAAGCCAGCTCCTTTCCTGAAACCTTACATAGTTTGGAGAAACTGCAGCAAGAGTGTCAGTGGTGTGGGTGATATGAAAAGAACATCTTGCTTGTATTTTGGGTTGGTTTATGCAAAAAGATGCAGAAAAATAATAGGGAATATTAGATTAAGTGGAAGTCTTGTATAAGCGTGTATCGCACTTGTCTGTTTACATGTTTGCTTCTATTTGAGTCAACAGAAGAAGGCTGTTAGCATGAAACATGAAAAACAAGGTTTAGAGGAATAAAATCTGATGGTGTTTATCTAGCACTGTCCTGCAGACAGTGACCCTGGATCTAGAAAATGGTCACTGGAGTCCCAGCCTCTGATGTAAGGGAGACATGTTTCATCAGGCCTCTTTCTTCATGATCACTATGAAACACCCCTCAAGATAATCCGTCTTTCCTGATCTGCTTCCATGTTCACCAATGGATTACTTCTTGGGCTGAGTTAAATGTAGAGTGTCCACTTCTCTCTTTTTTTAAAAAATATATTTTATTGATTTTTTTTACAGAGAGGAAAGGAGAGAGATAGTCAGAAACATCGATGAGAGAGAAACATCGATCAGCCGCCTCCTGCACACCCCCCACCGGGGATGTGCCCGCAACCAAGGTACGTGCCCCTGACCGGAATCGAACCCGGGACCCCTCAGTCCGCAGGCCGACGCTCTATCCACTGAGCCAAACCGGTCCCGGCTCCACTTCTCTTTTCTCCACCAAACCATAAGTGTTTTCCTTCAACACCTCATTCAAGCTTTTTTCTCCAGAGAAAGGTTTCTTGACAGACCCTGTCCAACTTCACAACCCCTCACTTATTCACATTATCTGTGCCTCACTTTATGTAAAGCATGAGTCCTACAGCTCATGGATATTAAAAAGTCTAGATAGAAGACATTTAGGGAGTATGGTTTTCATTGGAAATGGGTTTTGTGCTTGCATATTGGTTTTACTTAGAAGTGTATGTTACAGATCAATCAAAATAGCAGTGTTTTAAGTATTTTTTACATCTCACGTACGATTTAGAAAATATCCATTGTTCATATTGAAGGGCACAAGAAAACGGCCTTCCCACTGTTTCAAGGGCACGCATAATGCATAACATTATTTAGCGGTATGATTCTTTTCATGTCAGTCACATTAACTCATACACTGCAGCACGCCAATTAACGTTTTTATTATTTTTTTATTGTGGGCACTATTAGAAGCCTGATGAACTTTCTAATTCCTTGTCACAATGTGTTCTCTTCATAACACCTACTCCGAACTGGGCGTTCACTGCTGACCTACAGGCACGTTCTCAGTCACATCCTGTCTAGTGATTTCTAACACTGGGAAAATGTATACGGTGCTCCCGACACCGGACTGAGTGCTTTGCTTGAATCACCCCCACTTTTACAGGTGAGACGGGGGCTAAGAGGAGTAAAATAACTTATTCCAAATCACACAACTAATTAAGAGGTTCAGGCAGGATTCAAACCCAGGCAACGGTCTGAGGACTTTGCCGCTTCTAGATATTCTGTGAGTCCGTATTATCTGTGCTTGGATGGGGCCACAGCATCACAAACAACTCTGAATGGAGGGTCATCTAAGAGCGCCCTGCACCCTCCCCTTTACCTCTGAGGCCTCTCAGTATGTCCACCCCTCTCCCCGGACCGCAGGCCTGTGAGAGCAGGGCATGTGTGTGTGAGTGCGTGTGCGTGTGCGTGTCACTGATGGATCCCACGCATCCAGAATGGTCATAGGAGTTAAACAACCAGGAACAAACGAACCAGCCAACCCACCGGTGAGGATATTTACAAATACTTGTGGGAGGACCCGCGCCCACCATTTGGCTGCACAGAGCAGAAGGCCAGCTCTTGCTCCGAAGGAGTTTCCTCTCTAGAGTGGCTCTCACGCTTGTAGCCCCGCAGACCGTAAAGGCTTTTAAAGGGAATGGCATTTAAAACATTAAAAAATGTATATGTGGGGGGAAAAAGACAAGTGTTCCTTAAGGTTTCCAGCCCACGAACGTGTGAGGAGGCGAAGCTGGCCCTGAGGCCAGATCTCTATAGGTTCCGCGAAGAGACACCGGCATAAACCCGAGCAAACAGAACCCAGCCTAGATCCTCACTGAGGG